CGAAAATTTTTAAATTGTTCTTATGATTTTGTTGAAAAACAATATACATGGAAATTATCTGTACGTCAGAGGCAATGTCAGGTTTGCACATCATGCATTTAGAAATTTAACGAATTTTTATTTTCGGAGAAATAAAATAGGCCTTAGGTGTCATGTTAATTAGTATGAGTAATACATGAATTTTAAGATACATGTCCAAATATAATATTTGCGCATATTAAAAACTTATCTTGCAAATATTCAATAGAATATATACTCCTCAGGTGATGTACGTGGATTACGGTAACGTTGTATGGGTCAAGGAGGACCAGATTCGTATACTAGAGCCAAGGTATTTGTCGTTGCCTGTACAAGCGGTGCGATGCGTCCTAGCGGGCGTGGCGGCGAAAACCACATGTTCAAAGAAATGGGCCGAAGCAAAAGCTACCCTAGCCAAAATGACACAAGATACAACTTTGAATGCGCATATCATGTGAGTATTAAAAAAAAATAGATTAGTGTACAGTAAATTGCAACAAATATGGCAAGTCGTTGATGGCTTTATAGTCTTGTTTTATTATTAAAACAGCAGCTTGTTTTATTATTAAAACAGCAGCTTGTTTTATTAATTAATAGTAATATAGCTTCTATTTAATTGAACCTCTATGTTATGTTCTCGGCGTCGTGTTTGAGGCTGATTTTATTACAGAATGATAGATGGACTGAATAATTAATTTACCACGCACGAATCTTGGAGTGACGCACCGTAGATTGGCGTTACACTTCAATAAAATAATCGTCAAAATACAACCGTGTTCATTTTTAATGAAATATGACGTCACATGACTGATTGTGTTCGCGGTACAATTAAAATTAGTTTATGAAAAAATATGTTTTTCCTTTATTTAATGACATTTTTTGTAGAAAAATAAATCTGATAGTGGTTTAATATGATCATATGAAAGTTTTGAAATAAAGGGTGGTTAAATTTTAAGGGCCGATGTTGATTTTGAATAAAACACAAATTATTGAGGAAATTATTGTCATTGCTGTTTATTACGATAATATGGTATGGCTCAATTATGTTTGGAACAAAATATCGGCCAATTGGCCCCCGCGACCTCGGCGGCACACCTCCATCCGATGGTCCAAATTTTCGATGACGCTGAGGCATAATTGAGGTTCTATGCCGTTGATGTGCCGAATTATCTCAGCCTTTAGCTCTTGATCTGTTGCTGGCTTATTGACGTACACCTTTTTTAAACTTTTTTTAAACTTGTCTTGTCCCTTTTTAATCGCGTGAACCATCTTTCGTTCTGCATCAAACAAATCTTGATCCAAGGTCGCAATTTGAACTGATGCCAAATTCATAGTCTATTTACAACTTAAGTTTTTCACATCATCATCATCATCAGCCCCTTTACGTCCCACTGCAGGAGCTCAGGCCTAGCTTATGGATGGTTAAGGATGATGGGCCATGACCCTCCACGCTGGCCCAATGCGGATTGGAGAGTATTAACGACTGCAAATGCAACCGGGACCAACGGCTTAACGTGCCTTCCGAAGCACGGAGTAGCTCGAGATAGTAATTTTTTGATCACCCATCCCGTGAACGACCCTTGCGAAAGTTGCTTAACGACAACGATCGCGGGCCGCGGCGCTTATCCACTACGCTTAAAGATTTTCACTAAGCTGATATTATATTTTTCTTTTAACAGAGGTCGTGATTACGACGAACTAATAGTCGAGCTATATGACCACGAAGGGTACAGCATAACCGAACAGCTAGCCGCGCATGACGTCATCGAACTAATAGAATATTCCATCAGTGACGACACAAAAGTCACGAAGAAAATTGTCGCTGCTTGATAATTTAAGTGTTGTGAGTGATATTTATTTCTACCATTAGCACAAAAATTTCTAATACGAACCGGATTCTAATACAGCAAAATGTAAAATTTCTGTATTGAAAACTTTTCCTTTACTTTGAGTAGAGGGCGCTGTGACGATATCCATACAAAATTTTACCGTGCTCTATAAGAGTTCTATTTGCGCTCGACAATTTTCGTTCTGATACCAGTGTTATAATTTGCGAACGCGACCTTACTAGCAGTATTTTGAAATGTGACGTCATAAAATTGTTGACTATATTAATAGAATCGATTATTTTATGAAAAAAAATAGTATTTAATGTAACATTGATATTAATTACATTAAGACTGTTGTCCTTAGGAATAAAATAACTTGTTTCCGCGGATAGTGAACCTTTGTATACATTTATTTATATAACCCAATATATTACCCAAAATTCTATGGCGTATTAGAGAATTTAAGTCAAAATGTCTGTAGCTTCAAGTTATACGATAAGAGAATTTGCTAACAATTATCTTTTTCACTTGTTGCATTTGCAAGATTATTATAAGTATATTTTTAATATGTATTATTTTGGAGAAAAAAAAACTCATCATCGAATATTATTTATCAGTATAAAACAGAATTCAAATAGTTTTCTCGAGTTGGCAACAACAAAAATTATACTAAAATCCTATAAACTCGATTTTATTACCAGCTCTAGAATTTTTAGAAAAAAAAATCTATGATAAGATTGTTATAGTATTTGATGTCGAAAAACGGGTTAACTATGACTGACTAGCATTTGCTTTAAGCGCTCATAAAATAAGAGATTATTTTTCTAGGAATAAGACTTGACGATATATGGATACATGATAAGAATTTTCCTGAAGAGTTTTGAATGTGAACGTTCACTACAGAAGTCATCATTATATCAATACAACTTAATATGCTAACAGTTAAGTTCAAAATTGTTTGCAGAACATTGAGCTTGTGCTGTTATGTAATTAAATACGAATTTAATTACATAGTTTTTGTAGTTTTGGAGTATACAGGGGCCTACATTACCAAGACACTTGTGATGTATTTATGTAACAAAAAATACACTTTATTAACGCATACCCAACGTACAAATTTGAAAAAAAAAAAAACGTTTTCAGAGCATTCAGGCTCTAGAGTTTGCGATCGCAATTCTACCTAATTCGGTCGCCAACTCATAACGATGGTGATTCTAACGACTACGACTAGTTTTTTTGCGGGCCGCGAACCAAGTTCAAATGTCAAATTACAGAGATTAATTAAATTTTTGCTATTAAATTTGTCAGCTTAGCGAGTGAACTTTCACTACACTGACCAATATACTGGATTTTAGCGAAATCCAGAAAGAAGAGTATAACGTAGAAGTAAAAATAGAAGTAAGAAGAATTGCAATTGTTTTTGTTTTTAGCCATAATTAAGGTACAATGTGATATTATATTTGGTTAAGTGTGATTACGCTTTAGTTATTATTGCTAGACAGAAATCAGCATAACACTACTCCACAGTTGACTAAATACACTGTTATCTTATATATTCAATGTGTAAAAGATTTTCTTTATGAAAATATAGGCAAATTTTGCCTGTTAATTGGTTTGTAAACATATTGTTACATTTGTTACTAGCTTATGTACTTAAGCTATTTATTTTTCACGAATGATAAAACATTAGGAATGTTTTAGGACTATTTTCTTTTTTTATTTTAGATGAAACAAAGAATACTGATACTATTATTATTAACGTATTACTGAGAGTCAATTATAAATAGGATCGTGATTTCTACTAACTTCAGGGCTTAGCTGTCATTTTAGTACTGACAGCAAAAATAATCGAGTACATAAAATATATATTTTTTTTCGATTAATTTAGTGTCATTTATGTGTTATATTATCTAGTCTATTAACAGTATTAACATGACTTTATCAAGGATTAATAAGTATATTTTCTAAATTGGTTTTTACGAAATAGGAAGTTAACAATTTTTGAAAATAATTTCGTTACTCCTTTGCACATCTTATATCCTGAAATTGAAGCGCAATGCGGACCAAGATAGCAGTTTTACAATCCTATTCATATTTGACTCGCGTAAATAGTGCGATTCCGTTGGAAATATAATATTTTGATGATATGGGAAATTGGCTTTGTGAAACATGAATAAAATCATATTTTAAGTTATCACATGTTGATTGAATACTTCTCTAATTTTATTTCAAGAAGATCTGGTGGGTTATTATTGAAATAAATATTTTCATAAAAGTTTGTACACTTTATTTCGAAGACGCCAAGTGGAAACAACAATCAAATATATTTATTTAATCTATTCAATTCTACAATGCATTATAACTGCAACCATCACTTAAGGCACTTCTTTCGTGCGCACAATCAACCACAACATTCGAGGCTATAAATTACATAAGACGGTTTAGAGACAGGTGTTGACGTCTCTTTTTTGTTTTAGGGAGTGAAAAAAAGCGTTTATAATTAAATATAAAAGATATTCTTATAATTTGTTTCCTTTAAATAAAAATATAATGTTTATGTTAAAGATAACATATTATTTTTAATTTTCTTATTAATTCTTGCATAATAATTTCAATGTGGAACAACGTAGGCCGATTTATATATATGGGAGGGAAGAGTGCCCAAAGCTGCAAAGTCGTACGCAATAAACAGACGAGGCCGAAAGTAGGTTTCCATCATGTTTTCTCGGTTTTATACACCTCATACAATACCTACAGCCACATTAATTATCTGTGTCCATCAGTCTGGCAGCGCCAACCACTTAGATTTTGAAATGAGTTCTTGTTCTATCTAGTCTCCCTTAATTATCACTCCGTAACGAAATAGGGACAAATAGCAAAGTTACGTAGTTTCGGTGATTAACTAATGGGAAGCAAGAACTCATCTCGAAATCAAAGAGGATGGCACTGCCAGACCAACGGACACTAATGATTTCCCAAATCTAAATAAACAGCTATTTCATAAAGCTTTAAACCAAATTAATAAAAGTGTAAAGAATTTATCGCTTTGTATTAAAATAATAGGTTTCAAAACTTTTGACACTTCGATTAATTTGATTTTAATAATTATATAGATGTGAACAATATACATATTTGTAATAAAAACATTTATATATAACACTAATACTTATGTATTTGAGATTCAAATTACAGCATATCCAAATCCTAACTATATTTTCACTACTCCTATACATTTATAATTATGATTATATATTTTACATTGAACACTTGAGGCGAATGATTAATAGATTTGTTTAAAAATGTATATTTAGAAACAATTCAGATTACATGATTAAATATGACTAGACATAGCTTTAAGCTACTTACAGCAGACCAGCAACTTTTAACCTTTAATACCTTTAACACAAATTAAAAATCTGAAACAAACAGCTTCGGTAATTCAGACTCTAAACGGATCACTCGGACAATGGATGTCAAACGCCAATTATCATATGGATTGGAATTTTTTGGTGTATATGACTCTGGTGCTACAAATGTGCTGTAATATGAAATCAGCTCATGAGATTGATCACCATCCAAATCTGCAATCATCAATGATTGCTCTTGATATTCCAAGTCTGGTTGACAAATGGGCAAGGGCGAGGTTGTGTCTATCTGTCCACGAACACATATCTGTACGATGTCAGTTTGGCTAACATTCACATTATGCGTTTGCATTTTATCAAAAGATACTAATACGATTCTTTCTGAAATATCATGAACAGTGAAATTTGTATATTTGATGAATGATGAAATAGAAGCCACATTGATAATAGGCCGGTAATAAAAAATATCATTTGTATTTTTAGGACTCTGATTCTGTACATTGTAACGAACTTCATCAATTTTCAGTGCACCCTTTGCATTGTGTGCACTGTTCCACTGTCATAATTTCAGCACAAAACCTCTTATAGAATTTGCAAAGGCAAATGAACTTGGTTTCATAGCATAAACATGATTAGCAGAGTATTCCCAACCCACAGTACCATTTTTTTCAAGTGATAATTTCAAGCTTACCCTACATGAATTTGGACATTCACCGGAGTTTTCAACAATTAGTTTACCTGGGCCATTTATGTATGTCTCTCTTGTATTACCAATATTCTTTTTTAAACTTAAATTTATCTTCTTTGTAACAGTGCCAGAATTAGCAGTATGATTTGACTTATCCAATTTTAAGAGTTTACGATATAAATTATTATGAGAAATTGATCTTACTGCTTCTTTAGTGCCATTTTTACAAATATATGTTATAGTATCAGTTTCTGGGACCAATTTAACTGATATACAATCATTTATTGTCATTGGTTCACCAATAATGTTACCAGTTGCTCCTGATATAATGACTAATGAGTTGTGATTGACATTTGGATAAACAGTTGCCACAGTAAGAAGGTCATTAACCTTATCTGTATCCATGTCTTTCATTAGGATAGGAAAATCTATTGATGCAATATTACTGATAACTTTTACATGTTTGTGCATATACCAATAATATGTTCCTGATAAAGGATTTAGAGCTGCTAGTAATCCTTCTGAACCTGAGATAATGCAATCCTTTTGGCCGTCTCTATTAACATCTATGAGATGGCAATTTATCTCTGTAGGTATCCTGTTCTCTCTGGTGTACCATCCAACTTTGCCAGAGTTACCAACTATTAGTAAGACCCCATTAACATTATCATTTGTGTTCTTTTCTTGCTTCATATGATTGCCTCTATAGATAAATACTAAATTCTTGGTATTTGGTATAGCTCCATCAACAACTTGGACAGCACCAGACAGCTCAATCTCATCATAAGGTAATTCCCAACTGGTAGTTTTGTCTTGCCACTCGCTGGTTGTGCAGCTACCTACTTCAGAGCATGGAATTCCCCAAAGGAATATGACTACAGTGAAGATGCAAACTAAAATTGACGTAATAAAGGCGCAGCGGCGTGGAAAAGACATCTTGTTGGATACATCAGATTGCAGAAAACTTACGTTGTCCATTGTACTCTCTACTGTGTTGACGTTTGTGTTGAATTCGTCCATGTCACTTAAGCTGTAATTCTTTGAAGATTGTAAACCACTGTTGAAGTCCAAATTATTAGAACTGTCTGCTGCTTTGATGTGAGCAGCATTCTGTAGTTTGTGATCGTCTTCAGACTCTGAGTCTGACAGTAACTGTTTCAAAGGCGCGTAGATACCACCGGTCCCATTTGCTGACATGGCGTTTTAAATATTAAAAATATATTTCATCTTATGCAAATATTTGATAATGTACTGGTATTTCTTTTTTATATCTAACAAGACAAAACCAACCAAAATAAAATCAATACATAGAGACACAAAATGCGCGAAAGCTTCAGCAAAGTGTCACAGTGACAGTGACATTTTCGTGCAAGACTAATTTGCTAGCACATGAATGAACTACTCTGTCTACGACATGAATGGAAGCCAGGGCTGGAAAACCTTTAAAAAAAAACATTTAATGACGTCATGGAATGTTGATTGGGAAAATAATAGAAATAGAGTGGGAAAGTATTATTTTGACATTCAGAAAAGTATCCCCAGTACACCTGAACCAAGGTGTACTGGGGATACTTTTCTGAATGTCAAAATAATACTTTCCCACTCTATTTCTAAGGAGAAGTTTTTTAGTAAAAAAACTATTTGAATTTTTTGTTGCCTGACAATGAGGAAGTATTTAAAATAAAGAAAGCACTAAAAAGCACCTCCACTAGACGGCGACTCTAGCAAAAGTTAATTTTTGCAGGAAACGAATGGATCAAAAACAGTTATTTCCGTTCCTTTTAACAAACATAGGTATTAAAAAACTGATATTTACAAAGTTCGAAACTTAGATAGTGATACTATACAAATACGAAAAAGTTCGAATAGAATATGAGTTGTTTATTGAGTTTTGAAAACTAATTTACTTTTATACATGAAAGAAAATCGGAAGAATTGTCATGGAGAAATCAAGAACGTACCGTAGCGACATCTAGTTTGATTTCGGGAATTAATATTTTTTTTTAATACTTCCTCGTTGGCCATGTGTGTTACCCAGTTCGATTTGCCAAATTCAAAATTAAAGACAAATTGACGCATTTACAAATTGACGGTTTTATAATCGATACACACATGAACAGAACGACTCATAGTCGGGTCCCATTCAAATTTTACCAATCAAATCTTCCCAAGGGGCTTTAATACAACACGACAACGTGCATCCTCGTTGAAAGTAGGCGAACACTGAAGAACGAAAGTGCAGTAGCGTAAATGCTGTGTGAATACTATGTACAGTAGCGATGGATCCGTTAAAAAGGATCCTGTAAAAACAGACGTTATATGTGAACGCGCCCTAAGTCCGTAACCCTGCTGTCAAATCCATAATCATTCTGTATCTTTCGTGTTTCATTATTAAATATATGTCTAAGTAGTAACATAAGATGAAATAGAGCTAACATTGTTAAGATGTCAGATTATATGACTAGAATTGTATCCAATTATATAGTACAGAGTATATAGTTATAGAGTTGGCGGTCGCTCTGCTGGAACCCATGCGCTTTTATTATGGATAGTTGGTTTTAAATAAAATACATATAATCTAGGCAGAATGTATATTTTGTTTTGTATTGTATGAATATAAATTATTTGCTGTTATTCCGATACATTAGCCTATAAATATTTAAACACAAGTTTCTCATAGGTATTATGTCACACTTATTTCATTGGTGCTTACAAAACGGTAAAAAAATAAAACTTGTTTCTGCAAAGTAATGTTCAGTCACGTCCAAAAATATGTATGACAGTGCCATATTCAGTACACATATATATCTGATTGTATCTATATACTCACACATAATATTAGGAAATCAGGCACACATACATTTTTGAGGCCCTTTTCAATTTAATTAAAGAATTGAACTACTATAATTTTTATCAATATTAATGTAACAGAATTATGTAAATATAATTGTGAAAAACTAAATTTATACTAATTAATCGAGATTATTCATGATTTATTATAATATTTATTTATCATAGTGATAATTACAAGCTAACGCATCACCTCTACACATAAATACCTTACAGTTCACCACTAACCATTATATGGTTTGAAATCTTTCTACGGCAGCTATTTAACTAAATATAATTATGAAATAAATAGAAAACAAAACGAGAACTATTTACATTTTTTCAGCCTCAAAAATACTTTATTGATATATTCTTATGGTTGCATTTTTACCAATGGCACTTCAATTTATCTATGTATGGAGAGTTTTTACAATCTCCATTGTGCACATTCGGGCCTGGGAACTGACAGTTGATTTAAAAAGAACTTACTGGTTATTAGGAACAAAGATAAAATTAGCATGTCACACACCTGACAAGTTTTAATCTTAAACCGAATAAAATAAATAATAAAAATATAACTTTACAAATATAATGTGATGATCTCTTATGACAATAGACAAGATTAGGCATTAGTGAACATTTTGTTGTATAATATCAATAGAGGCCTTCGCTTAATTATAATGTAATGAAACCAAAATCAGCTTTCAAATAGGACAATCTTACTGACAATGTGACGGAACAAAATGAAAAAAAAATAGACAATTAAGGAATCAGTCTTGCAACACTTTCACAAAACATCTTTATATACATACACAGAGAGTCGATTTAAACAAAAAAAAAATCTGCATTAACATTCCACTAAATACCGTAGTTGAGTCCCATATTGAATACTTACGAATAATACAATTTAAACTATCATAAATTAATATTTGTTAGTCGGTAATAAGGTACCGGCCCCTCGTACTAGCATCCCGCGCTAGACTACCTACAATTCAATTAATATTTTGTACAAATAAAATACAATATTATGATATTTTCAAAACCAACATCGTTACATTCGACGTCGGATTAGGGTACTAATGCGTTTACAAACGCCAATTGTCTAAATAAATAATACAGATCTAAAGGTTACACAGAGTAAGGATATTCGCCGAGATAGTCTATGAGTGTTGAGGGGAGAGGTAGGAGTCTGTGTTTTGGGGCACACCAAAGTTTCGGTTTTAGAGGATTGGAGTCTAGTGTTCTGTGGACGGCGAGTCGCGCCGCGTGCATTAATGATGGTGGTTCTTTACGTAACGGAGTGGAGAGGAGCACGGGCGAATGAGGGCAACCGTCTCGGTCTACCCACACTGTGCCGACGCCCCGCTGCCCCTCTCTGGTCTCCCTCGTGTAATGCTGTATTAACTCCACCACGCACCGGAACCGAGGCATACACCTCACTTGTAACCGGTCACAATCTAACCTGGAACAAAATTATTATCAATCAATATGGAGCACATCAGGGTATTAATGTACTGCTGGGGCAAAAGATGGTATTGAATCGAAAGGGGAGGACGGCTCACGGACGTATCGGATATAGCTCACGCAGGCCCAGTACGGATTGGTGGGTGTTAAAGACTGCAGATGCGGCCGGGACTAACGACGTTCTTTCGACAACTAACTTTCGTTGACCCTTCCTAAGCCGGTAAAGTCTGTGTTACCGGTAAAGGTAGCACAGATAGAACGCTATAACCACATATTCGGGTTCAATACCATGATGTATATAAATTTACATTATTATTGCTATTAAATAGTGACATGTAATAAGCCCGTTAGAATCTCAACTATTACATTAAATAGTGACACTTCTACACTGTTTGCAGTAATACTTACAATTGTTTATTTTAATAAAAAAAGACATACCATTACAAAGGGACACTTATTTCCTCAAATAATGACATATTATCGTCTGCATAAAAGACAACATAATGCCGTTCATTTCGCCAATATTTACAAATTGCATGACAAGCAATTCATATGTTCTGTTCTGTGGACTTTTATTAGAGAAGCATTTAATATGCTTATAACATTATAATGAGCAATAAGAGTTTCCGGTTTTTCGCATGCTATATTATCGTTAATAATAATTGGTGTGTAAATAATTAAAGTACATAAATTTACTTTGCCATTGACAAAGTCATTGAGCTACCAAAATTAATTAATTGTTGGTGTAAATATTTAATAAATTATGATTCACACTAAGAGGAAACATTACAATTTATATTTCCGATACATAATTATAATTTGTATTAATTATTCTTTATAATGTTTGTGTTAATTTTTATATTTGTTAAAATTATCTTTAATTAACTTATACTCCATAACACGAGGGCGATTTATGTGATGTTGTCCAAAATAATTTATTTGAAAAGAAACAAACATCCTTTAATTTATTGACTTAAATTTTTATTTAATAAAAGATGTCAATAAAACAATGAAAATGCCATCTAACAATCGATTACGAAATCAAAAGATATAAATGACCTAAGAACATCGCCATCTAGGAATTCGATTTACAATTATCAGGCATATCTTTATGAGTAATATGACAGCTGTCGTCACAGTGGCGTCACACAATGGCGGGTCGTGTTTCAAGTGACGTGACACACAGATAAAAAATCATGACTTTAATTTTAAGATAATCATTCGATTTTAAGATTCCAAATCAGAATCTCTATGTTTAGTACGACGTAAATTTTAGTTATTGTGCAATTTCGCGACTTATTTTTCACTACCGAAACTACCCTATTACTTCATACAACAACGTTCACGTAGTACCTAAATTACTTATTATTTATTTTAAATTAAAATATTAAATGTATTTAAAGATAAAAAATCTTTCTTTAAAAAGCATTACAAAAAATGTAGAAATGTTTTTCATACTAAAAATCAGATTTAAAATGCACACGAAAATGTATTACAGAATCTTATCTTACCTAAAGAATCCCTCTTCAAAATGTAACCTCACAGAGGTCGGCCCTCGATCAGTCTGTACTGATAATGCGAAAATGAAATTGCTGTCTCCAGAATTCCTGATGAGAAATGCACCAACGCTCGCGTCTTTTAATAAACTACGCGCGCCCTGAAAGTAAAAAGAAAAAACGGAGTTAGTTCATACACATTAAAAAAACTAAAAGGAGAGCAGTTAATATATGCCTTAAAAAAAATTTTTAAAAAGCCATAGGCCCCTTAAAGCAAATTGTGCAATGACAGAAAATGTATTTAAAATATTATAAAGGAATTACGAGAAAACAGATATTGATAAAAACCATATCATTTGCCTTTATCATGAACACTGAATGAATCACAGTGAAGGTTTGTATTAAAAAGGAAATGTTAAATTTAGACATGACTGATTGCAACTTCTGCTTTTACCTCTAGTTGATTACACAATATCTAATTCAATCAAATGGTCATTGAAAATAAACAATCCTACACTCTCTAGAGTAGGGATTCCCAAAGTTTCCTTTATATATAATTCATATGAATAGACCCCTATTAATTAACACAAGTTCTTAATTGAACTAAGAGTATTTATCTAATAGAAAAAAAATTGAATTATTACAGCAATTTAGCTGTGGGGTTTTGTATCAGTTCCTTTTATAAATGGGGTCTATTGCACAAAATAATTTGGGATTCCCTGCTCTAGAGTCTTGAGTAAGTAGTTGACAAATATCAACTTCCGATAATTGATTTAGTAGTTAACTTTCAATGAAATAGGGCTCAAATTCAATTGGAGAAATTCGTAATTTTGGAGCAATATTTGTGATGTTATCTATTATTATTTTATATTATAACTAGCTGTTTTCCCGCGAATTCGTACGCGAAAATTAAAGTATACGTCAACCTGTATGATGTAGCTTCAAATAGGTGAAAGAATTTTAAAATCAGTCCAGTAGTTTTGGAGCCTATTTGCAAAGAAACAGGCAATCACATCTTTCCTCTTTATAATATTAGTATAGATAGCATAACATAAAAATAGAATTTGTAGATCATATTAAAAAGAAACAGGATATTCACAAAATTCTCACCTGCCAATCTAAACGTCCATAGTACCATCCAGACAGCCTGAGTGCTCTATATGTTTCATCTAGCCTTCTCAAACTGTCATCTAGCGGTGGTAATGTTGTCGTATAAGGAGTGAAGTATGTGTGTGATACTGTGAATGGTGGTGTGAGGGGTGTGTGCGGTTGCCGCTTGCCGGGGCATGCCGCAAGCGACACCCGAAGCTCATGCCGGCAGTTGGGGCACGCACCAGACCAGCTACTGATTGGTACTTCCACGCATGCATCTGGAAAGATTAAAAGTATTCTATTAACGCTCAGTAAAGGGAAGATAAATCAAAGTTCTGGTTGCCAGCGGAGAATATTAGTACATACTATGGTGTCAACTTTTAGTCAGTCAACAATACATAGTAGGTATGTATTCGACATCCAGATGAAGAATTATAATTTTGAGCGGGGCTTTGTGGTGTGATTGAAAGTGATAACTACAAAAGATCTTTCTGCAAACAATTTGAAACTTAACTACCAACAGATTAAGGCTTAAAATTGATAGAAATTTCACCTTTTGTAGTAACTTTATTAGTAATGTACTCTCTACCTGTGCCTTTGTTGGGTAAGATATAATATATAACACAAGGTATTAACTACTCTTTCTTAATACTCTGTACATTTATTACTACAATTCTATGCAGTATATCTCACTTAAAATTAACTATTAATTGTAATTGTTAGTTTAGGAAGACTTGTGCCTAGTTAAAATAACTAATGTTTATTTTTTTAATTTATCAAGTTCTTTTTAAAATGGTTTTTGGTGTGTGCTAAAATTACATGGATATAAACTTTATTATATATATTTAGGTTTATGTTTATTATTTGTGCCAAGCTTCCACTAATATATGATTAAAAAATACTGATAGATTATTGGATATCAGATTACTTTCATAGACTTGGTAATATATAAATAAAATTAAAGACTAATTTTGAAACAGCAATTGATTTTGAACTCATTTAACAAGCATTAAAATTCAAAATCACCTATGAAAATTTCATTGTTTAATTTCTTATTTTATTTTCTTTGTCATAGGTAAAATTTCGCTACAATGTAAATTATAAATAATACTGAATATATACAGTATTCATATAAATACTAATTCATTGAGCATATAGATTTTAACATTGTATATTTCTAAGAAAATGGCTTTGTAGCTATCTTGGATACATATGATGTGCTCAATATATATACCTAACAACAGAAAAATGAAAACAAGAGTCAAATTCATACACATGTATATCTTTTTCTTTATTGGTGTCGTTTGATATTTGAAGAATAATTATAATAGTAGGCAGTTAATCTACAACTTACTGTGTAAATGCAGTCTAGCTGCTAAAGTCATGATTAGAGGTTCACGTCTTATTTCTTTTCTTTCTATTACACACATTTGTTGTTCACTTTTCGATTGAGCGTCGCTTGATCCACTTTTTGAGGCCACGTTTAACAAAGTAGTTTTCAATTATAATAATGTTTAAAAATTGCCATCACTCCAAGAGACATCATTACGTTACAATGCACTTCTAATTTTAATTACAACACACTTTAGTTTATTTAGTTACACAGTTTTTTAAATCCCATTCACAATTTATCCACAGTACAATATAGAAATTATAAAAAACAGAAACGCCAAACGCCAAAGTCAAACACAACCACAAAGTACTGAACAGAACTGCGCAAGTCTGTGTCGTTCAGAATCACAAGTACAGTCACTTGATATTTTTATATCAAATAAAATACACGTTAAAATACTATTAGTAGTATAGTCGAATTTTGATTATCGGATAAAATAATTATACAGCGTACACTAACAGCCGACGAGTGGTCTACATTACTCGCGTGAAGGCGAATAAATGTAAGCGAGAGGCGAGGCCATAACTGAGCTAACGAGTATCACTCTAGCGGGCGACAAACGTAGGAAGGCGCGGGGCGAGAGGAAGCGATGATAGATGAGAGTAAGGGTCTCACATGTTATCACACACATGTTTCTGTATGCGTGTACTGTAGATAATGCACACAAGCATGAATATGTAGTAGGCGCACAACTCAACCAATAAAAACTAAATTCCGAGAATTTCATTCACAACAAAACCAGTTATCTATTCATTTGCTTTCTTTATTGTATATCTATCTAAAGTGAGTATCTACCTAAGTCCGTAACATAATTCTGTAATATACGCTAGAAAATATTTGCTTATTACAACATAAAAATATTTATAACTTTTTTCTAAGCAAATAGGTACCGACCTTTCCTAAATCAAAATTTATAAGCCCTATTACCTACATAAAACCACACAAACTTCAAAGTGAAATACGTACATGGTTTCATTTGATTTCTATTGAAATTTAGAGGCTAGTGGTTCTTTACCTTTTTGACTCACCAGTCAATAGCCAATATGGGTTAATTTATATTTTGTATTACCATATAAAATATAAATTAATTTTCAAGCCTGCGACCTTGAATAATATTGAAAATTTTCGCAACCCATCCCAATACCACCCGCAACCCGAGATGATATTACGTACTAATTTAATAATAGAAATAATATCGATTAAAACTTAATAACATGTTATTTTATCTTGTTACATACTTTATATGTTTGCCACATCCCTTTTTGTAAACATTGATAGGTTTATAGCAATTTTGTTGCACAAACTAAACTGAATATGAACCATATAATGACAGAAAGCAGTTTGCAATAAGTATAAACATCATGAACAGATACGCTGTTTTTATTACATTTGTAACTATAGACTAAAACTAATATATATATTTTTTTAAATAAAATTTCAACAATTTTTTTCTAGTTTTAATAGCTAAAGTCTTAGGTATATTAGGATTCAACTTACAATCATATCATTCTAAAACCTATTACTTTTTTAACTTTGACTAGGTGTACATTCTTAGGTACTCACAAAATCATATTTTGCTTATTTTATAATGGCTGTTCTAAACATTGTGAAAATGTTAACGTGTTCAATTCGCATTCGAGTGGGGCTTACGAGAGTGATTTCCCCGTAGTGCGATTATATTCGGTGTTCTCGGAATCCCTTACCTGCGCCCGCGCAGCTTTCACAACCATCTGCCGCTTGTCATTGGCGCAAACTCGTGATACGCAGCTGCTCATGTAATGAATTATGCCCCCAAAAAAAAATAATATAAAAGATAGTAAGCTTTTATATAAATATATTTTTGTTCAAGTTGGTATTATGATGTCAATCTTTTATGATAAATGGGTTGGTACGTTTTTTTTTAATTTACTGTTTCATTTGGAACTTTAAGGTGTTTTAATTAATGCGTAAGTAATAGGTACCTATATAAATTACCCGGTTTTAGCAATTGTACCTACTAAAACTTAGTGTTTAGGCTCAATCAGTTCACGAATATGTAAAAAAAATAATGTTGCAAATGTAATGAGGGTTTATTACGTAGGTATATATTTATTTAATCTTCTCAAAGGTGGAGGGCAATGAATGGTAGTCTAGTGACCTTGCTGCGGGAGGAGTGTGTATCTCACATGCCTCCGTGTTGCAAAATTATATACATACAAACGTCAGACTTATTGTTGCGAAATAAGATTTTTCTCGGAAATAATGAAATATTCTATTTTCAAGTAGGTGTGTGTGTGTACTTTCTTTAGATCAAGCGCGAATTAAAATTACCCTATGTATTATGTATATTATTTTTAAAATCAAACTCTCAAAGATCTTACAAAAAGCAGCGCAAAGATCTTACAAGAGTCAATTAAAAGTTACAAAACTGATTTTTTATTAGTTTCACGAAATGTTGTAAGCTTAATTTCACCCACTTCCCAGTGTCAGAGATGAAATAATCAGAAATAGGTTTTAGTTCTGATAACAACACAATCACAACATATTTTTCTGAACAACTCATCCAATATGGGTATCAAATGAAAGGGCTTAAATTGTTGAATAAAATACACTAAATAAAAGCTCGTTTAAGACGAAATGTATTGTGTATATGTATTATTATTCCAAATTCGTATATTATTCTAATTATTAAGTAAAATAACGAAAATCGAAAAATGGCACTTTAGGCGCAAATGGAATTATATCTGCGCCTAAAGTGCCGTTTTCTGACGTTTGTTGACCAACTCGAGTGTGCGCGTTTAGAGACCGCGACGTTTCGTGGAACGCGGCACGCTCCGTTTTCAATTTCGCATTGCATACCGTTGTTCTTAGTACTTCGTTTGAGGGGCGCCGTGCGTGCCTGAGTAAACATTTACACAGAATCATTCCGATCGATAACGCCGATGGCATGTTTTATACCTATATTACTCAGAAAATAAAAAGTACAACAAATTTTAATTAATTAAACATTAAAAACCGGACTCGCAGGGTTCTGTACCATTATATATATCAAAAAAAAAAAACACAAAAAATCATGTTTGCTGTACGAGACACCTTAAATAGTCTGGATCTAGGAGGGGGGCTAGTGGGGGCATTTGCCTCTGGCACCAGTGTTAGTGGCGCGACAAAATTATCATTATATAATATCTATATGCATCATCAAAATCGGTCGATTGATGAAGATATTGTGGAACATATATCCAAAATATCTAATTTAGAACGTTTTCCTTTTATATTTGTTTTTTTATCTATATTTTTTATAACATGCCAATACGCATTTGAAACAACAATATTGACAAAAAAATACGGTGGCATTTCGGAATTTAAATACTTTGAGATGATTCGATTTTCAAATGTGTTCATACTCCCGCTAACGTTAAAATTAAGCACCAACTTCTATTTTTAAGCAACGCAATAACAAGCAACGTTGTGACAGTGCACACACGCGCTCTTTAATTAATTTCCGAGAAACGTAAACAATAGTGGTTTCTGTAGAAACTATGTTTTCCAGTTTGTTTTTCACATAAATACCTGGTATTAATTATTCCGATGTTATATTGATATAAAAACAAATAATACAAAATATAGAAATGTATTATTTCAAATTTCTATCACTTAATCGGAATTCGGAATAACAACTGGTGTAAAGATAATGAAATAAATCCTCTTTTCTTTTTCGTAAGCACGTAAGCTTAAATTTAATTCGTCACCAGTCTATCAATTATCCCACTGCTAGGGCGCAGGCCTTCCATATGAATGCAATCGAATAGAAAGAATGGGCCATAGGGCCATGAACCATCACCAGCCGAGACCAACTGCTTAACGTGACTTCGGAAACACGGTGGAGCTCGAGAAAATAAATTTTTA